CCCCTACTCAGAACCCTGTCCTTCCTGGTAGGAGCAACCAAAAAGCACCAGGAAGCCCAGAAAAAGAGAAACCAGGTGGCTGGAGCTGACCCAGAGACTTCTCCTACTAGGGCACAAAGACATGGCCCTTTCCCTACCCAGGGACATGGCGGGCAGGGCTGGTACATAACGGGGAGCAGACACTAGTCGAGCTTCCTCTTCATGTAAACAAAGCAGCAGTGACCCTTCCTGGCCTGGCCACCACAGTCTGGAAGCACACGATGGTCTTAGAAGTCTTGGGACCCACCCTTCCATCTGGATTCAGGCGTTGAGGCCAGGATGGAGGCTGCAGGCGGAGGCCGATAAGGCTGGAGGTACAAACTGGTACAGGGTGGGGCCTGTGCTGTCCAGGGCACAGGGCAGGACAGGTGGGCATCCACAGATCCTGCAGCTCAGGAAATCACGCAATTGCCGGACTTGGAAGGACTGGGACTTGTTTTACCTGAGATGTTGGTGCTGAAGTCCTCAGTGGGCCTCTTCCCCTTCAGAAACTCCACGTCCGGGCAGGCCTCGGGGGAGAGCGAGCCGGCCCTGCTGCTGGGTGCTGCAGGTCTCTTGGCTCGGCGGCTGAACAACCTGCTGCCCATGAAACGCTTGCCCTCCGTGGCCAGCATGGGGCCCCCATTGGCAGCATCTCCCTTGCCATTTTGGGTGACTGCCTCTCAGGATTTGAGCCTCGGGTGGCTCAGATCTGTCAAGGGGACGGGATCCACGGGGGGCCACATCTGCTCTATAGTAACCAGGTCATTCAGGAAGCTCTCCAGGCGCCGGGCTGCCTTGCCACCTCCTCTGCCCTCCTCCTGCCTATCCAGGTTGCCATTAGCCTCCCGCTGTTGCCGGGCAGCCCAGCGCATCATCTCCCCCGGTGGGTGGCGGCTACCTGCCACCAAGGCACACTTGGGGTAGATAAGCTTGCGAGCCACAGTGGAGGAGCGGTGGAGGCCAAGTGTGCCAGCGCCTCCTGCCAGGCCCAGCTGCTGGAACAAGTTCACTTCCTCGGAGATGGCGTATAGCTCCCGGAACTCCGCGTCGAAGTGCTCTGTGTACTGCCCTGTCAGGAGGAGGAGATGGTTTCTGTGCACGTAGGAGGAACTCCAGGTGAATTTGTAGGATCCAGTGGCTACTTTGTCACCATCTACCATCAGGAACCTTGATGACAGGGTTCCTTTAATCTTCCCCATGGGCACGTAGAAGCCAACGCCTGTCACAGAGCGGACGCGGATGGAAGTCAGCCAGCTCGAGGCTCCCGCACATCTCCAGGAAATACTTCACTCCCGCCTCGTCCAGGATGATGTACACCGGGACCCGGCGCTTGGAGGCAGCATCCACAACGTCTTGGAAAGTATCCCCATCGGTGAAGAGGTCCATGACCACAGCAATGACCTTCTGGGCCTGTTGGATCATCTGCCTGACCACCTGCTTGAGGTGGGGCGCCTTCTCCTCCTTGGGGGAATGGGTGAAGAGAGTGACGCGGCTCATGCCGCGGTAGAAGCCAGCGTCGGTCCAGCCCAGGTCCAGAGGGGGCACCTCAGTGTCGGAGCGGTCCGGCAAGTAGGCCAGGGACTCGCATGGTTCAGCCGGGACCTTCGCTGGGACATTGGCCTTGCTCTTGCTCTTGCCACGGACGGCGGGGGCTCCAGGCGGT